GCGGCCGGGGGGGGGGGGGGGGGGGGGGGGGGGGGGTGGCGACGAAGGGCGCTGGCGCGGCACTCCAGCTGGGAGCAGAGAGCCGCGGGGTGGTGCGAGGAACATCTTCCAGAACCTTCCTCTGTCCAGGGCTAAGTTCTGAGCCAGGTAAGGTACGGGAAGCGCTACAGGCTGGGGGGAAGTGGATGTCTGTGTCAGGCCGCTCCTCCTCTGTCCCCGATGACTACCGAAGTAGTGGGGTCCAGGGACTGACACCTGAGGAGTTTCGGGGAACTCTCCTCCGCCCACGCAATTCTCTTCGCTTCCCATGACCCCTCATCTTACCTAGTAGGTATCTCTTCCCAAAAATCCGGACTTCCCCCACCCGGCCCGTGGTACCGCACTCCCAGGCACCTGGTCTGTCTGCATTTGTTGCGGGGAGTGGTCCCGACTTCCCGCTCCCCCGGAGGAAGGGAATCCTACTTCCTTTGATCTTTCTCTGGCTGCTCTACCAGCTTCCCTCATGTGTCGCCCATAAAACCTCCAAGGGGAAAGGCAGAGAGACGGAGTGGAGCGAGCGGGGGGCCGGACCCGAGGCACTGCAGGACCCTGCCCAGCCAGCGAGGGGACTAATCTGGAAGAGGCTCCCCGTACACACTCTCCCCGCAGGGGTGGGGGTCGAGTGTTCATCCCACTGTGGTTTCCGCAGGCGCTGCCTTCGTATTAGGAGGCGACCCCCGGGTCGCGGGATGGAAGCGTGCACCCGCGAGGCTGTGTAACCGGAGCCGCAGGAAGCAGCGGGTCCACAGCGCGGCGGGCACCCCGGCCCTACTCGTGGATGTTGACCGCCCCCTCGGAGAGTCCCCGCAGACATGGCTGAGAGCTGGCTGCGCCTCTCGGGAGCGGGGCCGGCAGAGGAGAGCGGGCTGGAGGAGTCCGACGCCCTGGATGACAGCCTGACCAGCCTGCAGTGGCTGCAGGAGTTCTCTATTCTCAATGCCAAGGCCCCCACCCTGCCCCCGGGGGGCACTGACCCCCATGGCTACCACCAGGTTCCAGGTTCCGTGGCGCCTGGGTCCCCCCTGGCGGCAGACCCTGCCTGCCTGGGGCAGCCGCACACGCCTGGCAAGCCCACATCTTCGTGCACCTCTCGGAGCGCACCCGCAGGGCTGCAGGCCCCGCCCCCAGACGACGTAGATTACGCCACCAACCCACACGTGAAGCCGCCCTATTCGTATGCCACGCTCATCTGCATGGCCATGCAGGCCAGCAAGGCCACTAAGATCACCCTGTCGGCCATCTACAAGTGGATCACGGACAACTTCTGCTACTTCCGCCACGCTGATCCCACCTGGCAGGTAGGGGAGACGCTGATTTGGCCGCGCCCTCTCTATGTCCTCCTCCCCACCATCCACTGGATGCCTATACTAGATCTGCCAGGCCAAGGGGACAGTCCTCAAAGAAGCACATTCCAGAAAATACCCCTCCTTTGACTTCCAGAGAGGGAAAAGAGAGACAGTCCCAGGGGCAGAGAGCTTTAGGGGTGTAGATGTTGAAGTTTAAAGGGAAAGAATTCACACATACAGCTGCCCAGCCCAATGGCCAAGACTAGACTGTAGGAGGACTAGTCTTCTGGGGGAGGTGATGAGCTGACAGCACATTCTTGTCGCCAGTCCTGGAATTCCCAGACACCATCCTGCTAGAGGACAGTTGGTCAGGGATAGACTAAAACTGAAACCAACTGCCCTCCTTGCCAGCCTCTGCATCCTGCCATTTTTGCCCTTGGTTTGGGGAGGGGGACACAAAGAGATGCTAATGGGTATGATCAGCTGCCCTGTGGAGGGGGTCTGGGACCTTCCTTAAAGCCATCTCAACCCCCACCTCAAGCCCTCCCCAGTTTCCTGCCTCATTCCCCCTTCTCTGCCAGCTTCCCTGGGGAAACAATTACCTGAGCCAGGTGCTTTCCACAGGGGCTCTGCCGGCTGCACTGTCTTTATGTTCCAAGTCTCTGGAACTGGCACAGAGCAGCCAAGGGGCCCAGGCCACCATGTAAACAGTCCAGCCTTGCCAGGACACTGTCCTCCCACCTGCCTGCCATTCCAGCTTAGACCCCTGTCCCCAGAATAATTTAGACAAAACTAAGCACCCAAGAGTGGACAAGGCAGGAAGACGCTGGGGTGGAGGATGGGTAAATGTCACCTAGAGAGTCTTCAACCATCAGGATCCAGAGCTAGTTGGAGACTGAGGCCTAAGGATACTCACTCTTCCCTGAAGAACTCAAAGGGATGGGCCACACAATCACAGTCCCAAGCCATCCCACATGGCCTAGACTCTGGGGCAGGAACCCCCACCCTCACCCCACCCTGGGCTCAGGGCCTTGGGGCTCAGGCCCCAAGAACAAGTCTTACACTCCAGACTGGGGAATAATCAACTGAGCCTGAGCTGGGGAGGGCCAGCGGCTAGCTCAACAAACAAGGAAAGTCACCAGATTCCCTCACCCCTCATGACTACACACACACACACACACACACACACACACACCCACCCACGCGTCTTTAGCTCAACAAACAAGGAAAGTCACCAGATTCCCTCACCCCTCATGACTACACACACACACACACACACACACACACACACACACACACACACGTGTCTATGGTTGCCCAGCCCCCTGCACTGACCTACTCATTCACTTTACAAACAGAAGGCTCACCAGGCTCAGGCAGAGGGAGATGGCGATCCAGGCCCTGGGGGAGCTGAGGGCTTTGGCCAAGGGCCGCAAACAGCAGGGTAAGGGAGGGAGGTTCAGAGGACGGGGGTGGCACTGAGAGCCACCCTGCAGCTCAGAGCTCGGATGACTGAGCAGGCAGATATCCTGGCAACAGAGAACAAAAGCCCCCGACAGCACTCCAGGTTCCTGGTGCCCTGTGGCTGGTGTCCCAGAGTCCGCAGCAGTCGCCTTGGTCAGAGCAGCAGGTCTGCCCTCCCCTCCCCTGTCAGAGAGAAGATGTGGGGAGCACGCAGGAGCACTGGGTGCCACTCCATCACCACCATCCCCACTGATCTGGCTGTTCTTTCTCTCTTGGTCTCTCCCTGTGCCCAGAATTCCATCCGCCATAACCTGTCCCTGAACAAGTGCTTCATCAAAGTGCCTCGGGAGAAGGATGAACCAGGCAAGGGCGGCTTCTGGCGCATTGACCCCCAGTATGCAGAGCGGTTGCTGAGTGGGGCCTTCAAGAAGCGGCGGCTGCCCCCAGTCCACATCCACCCTGCCTTTGCCCGCCAGGCTGTACAGGAGCCCAGGGCCACCACCTGGGCCGGGCCACTGACCGTGAACACCGAGGCCCAGCAGCTGCTGAGGGAGTTTGAGGAGGCCACAGGGGAGGTGGGTTGGGGCACAGGCGAGGGCAGGCTGGGGCGTAAGCGCAAGCAGTCGCTGCCAAAGCGGGTGGCCAAGGTCCCTCGGGTCTCCAGCACCCTGCTGCTGACCCAGGAAGAGCAGGGTGAGCTGGAACCCCTCAAAGGCAACTTTGACTGGGAGGCCATCTTCGAGGCCAGCACTCTGGGCGGGGAGCTGAGCACGCTGGAGGCCCTGGAGCTGAGCCCACCACTGAGCCCCGCCTCCCACGGAGATGTGGACCTCACCGTCCACGGCCGCCACATCGACTGCCCTGCGACCTGGGGGCCTCCGGTGGAGCAAGCCACCGCTGACAGCCTGGACTTCGACGAGACCTTCCTGGCCACGTCGTTCCTGCAACACCCCTGGGACGAGAGTAGCAGTGGCTGCCTGCCTCCAGAGCCCCTCTTTGAAGCAGGGGATGCCACCCTAGCCGCTGACCTGCAGGACTGGGCCAGCGTGGGTGCCTTCTTGTAAGAGGCCAGGCCTTGCCCTGCCTCTGGACAGTGCCCGAGTCAGGGCCCAGAACTGCCCTCCAACATTGCCCACAGACATCTTGCTGCCCAGGCAGGGGCTGGGCCAAGTTTTTCCCAAGGCTGGCTCCACAAAGCCACAGTGCTGTCAGCCCAGGTTGTCCCCAGATTCAAGCCCAGGAGGCTGAGACCTGGGAGCCGCTGCCTCCCCGTCAGCCCCTACACACAGTGTTTTATTGATCCGAGTTCCTCCACTGCAGGGACAGGATAACACAACAGGCCCTGCACCTTGAGCACTGAGGCCTGAAAGGGTCCTCTCAGAGTGCCTCCCTCTGCTCTGCCACCTCTCCCACTCCCTCCTGCTTCCCCAGGTCTCTATCCAGAGAAAGTTCCCAGGTACAACAAATGCTAATTAGGTGGCAGTAAATTAACCCCCTGGAGGCTTCTCCTGGCAGAGCCTCCCTAAGGGCCGGGGTGGCAGTGGCTGGGGCAGAGCTGACAGAGGACTAGCTGGGGGAGGGGTGCAGAGAGGAGCCTGAAGGGATGTGGGGGTGCAAGGTGGGGCACAGCAGTGTTCTGCAGGGCCTCTGGGGTCTTCACCTGCCTGGCCCCATCTATAGGGGAAAGAAAGTCCAGGCTGCAAATTCCCTAATCTGAAGCCTGATTAGGGGCAGCCAAGTTGTGGGGGTGGGGGGAGGGAGACAGACTAATGTAGCGAGTGTAGCTCTAGGTAAGGTTTAACTGTGAGGGACTGAGCTTGCTGGAACCACTGGGACCAGGGAGGGGGGAGAGCCCCATGCCCCTGCCTGTACTTGGGGATGGGTCTTGTACCAACCTGACCCTCGGGGACTGCCTCCCATATCCACCCTCTGCATGGGGCAATTTAACCTTTCTCGTTGAAAGTTATTTACAATAAAGTTTTTTTAAAAATAAAATTTCTAAAACTCTGGATGGACATGGACCTCCTCATAGCTTTCTTTAGAAAAAGCAAAGGACCTGGTGGTTTTCCTTCTTTTTTTTTTTGGGAAGCGGTACTTCAGGGCCCAAGAGGGGAATGGCCAGGAGGAACGTGGGAAGAGGTTACCCCTGCCCAACTCCCCACGACCACACTGTGAAGGATGTGACCAGAGGCAGCTCTTGGGAGCTGCTTGCCGCCTAGGCCTCAGCGCCTTCATCTGAGCAATGGGGGAGAACTGCTCAGGACCCCGGGGAGCAGGAGACAAGAGAGGAGGTCCACCCTGGCCCTGGGACTCACGCCATCTCCCACCACGAGGGCCTGCCCAGGCTCGCCTGCCGCCGGGTCTGCAGCCCAGGCCTGGGCCTGTCTAGGGCACCTCCCTCCCTTGGTCCTTTCCTGAAGGGATGGGATGTGAGATCAGAGAGCCCAGACCCAGGGCCCCTTCCTGCCCTGGTGTGAATTCACTTGACCCAGCCCAGAGTGGCCTGGGAAGGAGGAAGCCGCCAGGAAACGTGGCGGAGTGCTCAGACCATCCTCCTGGCCCACAGCGGCAGCTCCACTCCATTGTGACTGTCAGGGGGCAGCACATGGGACATGTGTCTGGGCGACACTCAGCTGGCACCTCTACCCCCTCACCAAGGTGTGCCTGGCACGTACTCCCTCCTCAGCCCTACCAGACCCCACATACATACACCCCCCAGCGCGCGCACGCGCACACACACACACACACACACACACACACACACACACGCACACGCACAGGTACTGTCCAGAGCTATCCTGCCCAGCCCCCACAGCCCCTCTGGCTCCCCATGCCCCTTTCTTTCTCTGCCCTTGAATTTGGCTGTAGGCCAACCTGGCATTCCCCTGGCTAATTTACTGCTTTCACTTGCTAATTATTCCAAATATTCCAGAAGGGCACACACTGCAGGACCAGGCAGCAGGGCTGGGGCCTGCCTGAATCCAGATACGAGCTATCCCTCTGCACAGCCCACAGAAAAGGCCGCTCAGCCGGGCACAGAAGAACCCGACACCTCCCGTCTCTCCACCACCCACCCCGCTCGCCCTCTGCCCACCACAGCACTGGGGGACAGTGGGGCCACCAGCCTTCTCCACTAGCCCCAGGCAAGGTGGGACACCTGACAGGCGAGTGTGACACTGCCTGGCCCAGACCCTGCTGGGAGGAAGAAGGGCAGTGTCGGGACCAGTACCATGACCCCCTGGAGGAGCACGGAGCCAAAGAAGCAGGACATGGGGTGCCACTGCACTGACAATCACCCAGGGCCTCCTGCAAACCCTGCTGCTCAGCACCCAAGCTTCACCCTGGACCAGTGAGACCAGAAGCTCTTGGGCCAGCACCGCTTCTCCACCCCCATATGGGGGACTGAACAGGGCCTTCTCATTAGCTATATTCCCAGCACTTTCTTTACATGTTTATTTTGAGAAAGGGTCTCACTAAGTCACTAAATTGCTCAGGCTGGGCTCAAACGTGTGATCCTCCTGCCTCAGCCTTCCAGAAGACTGGGATTACATGCATGCACCTGGCTGACATCTGCACTTTTTAAAGGTCCCTAGATATGTCCAGTGCGCAGCCAGGAGGGTACTCTGGAGAGGGCCATGACCCACCCACCCCTTCAAGCAGTCAGCACTGCATGGGGCAAGGAAAGCGCGAGTGCCCTGCAGCTCTTCAACCCTGCCCTGCCCCTCAGCATCCTGGGCCTTTCTAAAAAACAAGGTTAATTTTCTTCCTATTTATTTATAGATTGAGTGTAATCCCAAAGTATGCCGTGTGCCATTCAACAGCAGGTGCAAACACGACACCCGAGTGTGCATCTCCCTAATGAAGGACACATCTCCACACCTGTGCAGGACTTTGGTCAGTGCTCCAGTCAGCTCGTCCGATCCACAGAGCCCAACCCAACGGTACCCCAATCCAAGACCGTGTGACACTTTCACTGTCCTAGCCGTACCTTGTCGGGGAGAGGAGCAGATGGGAATGGAAAGCAGGCCTTGTAGATAAGCAGGCACCCTACCACTGAGCCACACACTGCAGTGTGTGCTCTTCAGGAGTATTCGGAATAACTAGTAAAAAACGTTGGAGCTGGGTGCAGTGGCGAACACCTATAACCCCAGTGCTCGGGAGGCTGAGGCAGGAGGATCATCATGGTTGGAAGCCACCCTGAACTACATAGTGAGTTCAAGCCCAGCCTGAACTACAGAGTGAGATGAATGAAGGAAGGAAGGGAGGGAGGAAGGAAGGGAGGGAGGGAGGGAGGGAGGGAGGAAGGAAGGAAGGAAGGAAGGAAAAAGAATGAATTTTCCATTACTGGATATTGAACCCAGAGCCTTTGCAAGGAGCTACATCTCCCACCCAATATGTGTATTTTTTTTATTTTGAAACAGGGTCTTACTAGTTGCCCAGACTGGGCTCAAACATGAAACACTTCTGCCTCAGGCTCCGGAGTAGCAGGAAACATAAGTGCCTGGCTGTCCTGGTTCTTTTGAGCTGTGTGGCTGGAGCACATAACTCAAGCTCCCTGCGCACGTTTCTCCTCTCCTTCATTTCTTTTTTTGTTTGTTTTTGTTTTTTGAGACAGGGTCTCACTATGTAGTCAAGCCTCGCCTTGAACTCACTATGCAGCCCAGGCTGGCCTCAGACTTGCAGTGATCCTCCTGCCTCAGCCTCCCGAGTGCTGGGATTATAGGAGTGCCCCACTGTGCCCGGCCTCTCCTTGATTTCCATGCTGTGAACTCTACTTCTGCAGTGACGAGCTCCTGAATCATTCCGTCTTCAGGTGTTGGGGGAGGCCCTTTCCCAAATCAGGGAGCCACCCCATCACTGAGCCTCTTCCCCCGTACCCCCACATCTAGGACTATGATAATAGGGAGGGAAGCAGAGCGCCAGGACCTTCGATCTTGGGGCCTCTGCCCCCCAGCCCAGGCCACACCGGGTGCACTGATTCTCAGGTCTGGAAGTCCCCTGGGAACCACCTCCCCCTGCACTTGGCCCCCTGCAGAGATGAGCTGCCCACCCCCACCGTAAGCACACAAGGACAGCAGCCGCATCAGGTGCCTCGTCCTGGGCTGAAGCCCAAAGGTAAACAGGTGTATTTGGACTCCAGCAAGGGGCAGTGGGCCAGGCCCATGGGGCAGGCCTGGGCCTGCCCAGGGTGGGGAAGTGGGGTGTTGTTAACAATGGGGTGGGACAGAGGCCCAGGTCCACCTGACACATTCCTGTGTGAGGAGGAAGAAAGCACAGGTGACAAGAGAGGGGAAGGCTGGGGACGGGAGGGGGCTTTTTGTGGCCACCCAGGCCAGGGCTGCGCTGACCGCTGTGAGCCATGGGGCAGGGACAAGGCACACGGGAGCACCTGCTGGAAGGGGTCACCTTCCTCCCCGGACACGTGTGTCCACTTTGCTGTGTTGCTCTCAGGTGGGACAGGTCACAGTCACCGTGACAGGCGGGCATGCTGGGGCCTGAATTGGCCTGTGTGCGTCAGGAGGAGGCAGGGACCAGCTAGAGGGACACTGTCCCCAAGAAGCCAATCAGCCTGAGCTGGCTAGGCGAGGAGAGGTAGGAACATCCAATAGCCAAAGGGGGACAGCACGGCCCAAGGCCTCCCTACTGGCCTCTCTGGCTCCCTGATGTCCTAAACGGCCGGCCCAGCCCCCATCTGTCCCTTGGGCCACATCCCCCATTCTAAGGGAAGGACTGGCGTCTGTGGTCTGAGCCCCAGGCCCTTTCCCCTGGAAGGAAGCAGCTCTCTTGAGGCCCCCCAGAAACATGGGCACACCTCACTGCCACATCCTGCCCACTCCTGGGGAGTCTGAAGCCCAGGCCGCAGGCAGCCCTCTCAGTGCTGCTGTTTGACCAGGACTAAGCTGGAACTGGGAAGTCACCAACTGTGCTCCCCTTTCCCCGCCACTCATGGGCTCTGACAGAGGCCCTGCCCCCTGCCCTGGCCACCCTGCTCCCTTCTGTCTCCCTCTGGGCACCAAGCCCCCAGCATCAGGCTCCCTTCCAGTTTGCCCCGAGTGACCTGTGTCTCTCTTGGGCAGGGTGACACAGACCCTGCCTCTCAGGGAGTTGTCTCTCGAGCCTGTAGGTCTGTGGACACCTACTCATTCCTACACTGGATGCATCAAACCCACTGGCCAGCTTGTTGAGGAATGAAGGAACGAACAAATCAATGAATGGACTGACAGATCAGTAAAAGAAAACAGCAAGGCAGCTTTGGCAAAATGCTCTATACCAGTGATGGCGAACCTTTGAGAGCTTTCAATGATAATGAACTACCCGCTGTAGCACGGGGGGCCATAGGTTTTGACACCACTGCTCTATGGAGTCAACACTGGGGGTTTTTTTTTGTTTGTTTGTTTTTTGTTTTGGATTTTTTGAGACAGGGTCTCACTGTGTAGTTGAGACTGACCTGGAACTCGCTGTGTAGCCCAGGTTGGTCTTGAACTCACAGCGATCCTCCTGCCTCAGCCTCCCAAGTGCTGGGATTACAGGCGTGCACCACCATGCTCGGCACTAGGGTTTTTTTTTTTTTTTTTTTTTTTTTTTTTTTTTGGTACTGGGGATCAAACTCGGGACCTTGTGTTTGCGAGGAAGGCAGGCAGCAGAACCACTGAGCTAAATCCCTGGCAACACCAGGGGATTTTTAGGCAACTTAGTAAGACCACCACAAAATAAAAAGGCTGGGAC